TAAACAAAATATCAGGGAAGATAAGCCAGACCCAAGAGTACCTGCTTAGGATTCCATGTATAAGACTATACACTGCATGATCTCATCTATTTTGTGTCATTCCATTCAAGGACAAGCAAAACTAATTGATTACATTTGCAGTCACAGTAGTAGCTGTGTCTAGTCAGAGAGGTTATTGGTGGTTGGGTATTATGGAGGAAGGCATGAGGAAGTCTTCAGGCGTGCTGTATATTTTCCTTATCTTGATCAGGGTGGTGATTACCTAGGCTTACATGTATAGAGGCTCTGGAAATAAAGACCAACCAAATGCGAAAAGCTAAGGCTCTTTATCCAGAGCATGCTATATGGCGGAAGAGTCAGTCTCTGTCATTTGTGTTTTGGCAGAGACTCAAAGGCAGGCAGAGGAGCAGGAGAGCTTTAAGGTGGAGAAAGGGAGGGGGCGCCTGGGTGGCTCAGTGGGTTAAAGCCTCTGCCTTTGGCTCAGGTCATGATCCCAGGGTCCTGGGATCGAGCCCTGCATCAGGCTCTCTGCTCAGCGGGGAACCTGCTTCCTCCTCTCTCTGACTGCCTCTCTGCCTACTTGTAATCTCCGTCTGTCAAATAAATAAATAAAATCTTAAAAAAAAAAAAAAAAGGGGTGGAGAAAGGGGAAGGCTTCAGGTGTGCCTGATTGGGGAAGCGGTAGGTGGGCTGACTGAAGGCGGGGCATGCTGTGTGATTGGTTAGGGTGCATATCTGGCTTTCTTTAGTGGGTCCTAAATTGGGAGCAGGGACAGAAAACCAAGGAGCTGTCAGTTACTTATCAAGTCCTGGCCTTTGGGGACCAAAAGTTGCAAAAATTATTGTTTAGCTTCCTGAATTGTCACAGAGATAACAATCTGGCTTCTTGTAAGACTGACTTATAGTAGGCTGGCTTCCTGGGCTGGTTCTTGCAGACAAAGGGGTTGTTTTGGGGGATGGGCTGCCCAAACTCCCCAACTGAGTTCTGTTCTTATATATGGTCCAGCCGTTTTCTATTCGTATATTCAGTCTCTCAAGAGAAACTCTTAAAACTTGTGCATGTGTTTATATGTATCTTATACTTCAATAGATAATTCAAATAAAGACCACGGGATGTAAGATCAGGCTAGTATTGAGGATGGAAATCTCACTATTTGCTCTGCATTCTCAGAGAGAGGACAGAGAGAATAGAAAACCTTCAACAAAGCCATCCTGTGGACAGGGACAATGTCCTGCCTGGAGGAGACGTGGTAGCCTTGAGCAGGAGAGACTCTGTTTACTCTCAAGAGAGTCAATTAAACTCAGAACCCATATGTCCTCACATTTTCTCCTACATGCTACTGCCTCACTGTACCCATGTACCATTATGAGAAGAAAATAGAGAAACTCTTTTCCTTGTGAAGGAGTCCAGAACAAGTCTCCCCCAAATTGTTCCACATTGACCTGTGAATGATTCTGAACTGAAGCCACAGAAGACCCAAAAGACTCAAGAAGAGCTTTTTACTTCCCCCTTAACTGCCTCTAAGAATTTAGATACAGGGCCTGGTCCAGGAAGAAAGCTCTCACCAGGGATAATTACCAAGAGTACGGTAAACTAGGGGGGAGATGGGCAGGAACAGAATTCCTTTGTGGGTCCCACTGTTTCTGACTGGTATGACAAACATTTGTTTACCAAAATTTTGCTCTTCTCATCTTTCTGTGTGTCTTCCTCCTTTATGAAGCCCCAAACCACCGTCCCATTATTCTTAGGTCAGGATGGGACATCAGCTCAATCACCTACTGTCTTAGAGCCTCTCGTGTCTGTCAAGGTTCATGTATGTATAACATTATAATTCATTTTTTCTCTTGTTAATCTTCCTTGTGTCTACTTAATTAGTAGACCAGGCTAAAGAATCTAAAAGGGTACAGAAAACATTTTCCCTCTTTTATGCCTGCATCAGGTTTGTCCCTCTTCAGCCTCCCTTTTCTGTATGAAATAACAGCATTACCAATAGCAACAACAAACACTTGTTCTTAAGATGTATGTCTAGTCTCATGATAGTATTATTTATGACAGTGGTAAATAAAAACACTCTGAAAGTACAATGGGGAGATAATTAAGCAAACCATGACGTACCTACACAATATCATATTGTGAATATGTGTTTTTTAATTGGTGAAAACCCAGAAATTACGATGGTATGATGTTAAGAGAAAAAAGCAGAAGAATGCAAAATTCTAAGAACAATATGATCTCAATTAGCACAAAACACATGCAAAGAAAAAATATTGGAAGAAATATTGGAAACATATTTCCAAACTGGAAGAATATCCAAATATATTGGAAGAAATTGGAAGAAACTGACCAAAATATTAGCAGTGGTTAATTCTGAGTGGTGGAAATATGATTTATACTGAAGGAGTCAGAACAAGTGTTCTCAAAAGTGTGTCATTTTGGCAGGTGACTATTTGGAGCTGAAATCAAGACCCAGTGGGCTCAAGAGAAAATTTTCTCCCCTCTTCTCTACCTAGAAGAAGTTAAATTGGAGGTTTTTCCCAGAATGAGAGTTCTTACCAGAGATGAATTTTTTGTAATTGACCCATCTATATGGCGGAGCAAACTTCTAATAACCAAACATCTGGTCTTCTTATTACTCTGTGAATTGCCCTTCTTCCATTTGAACCTCAGGCCCCCAGCCCATTCCTTAGCTCAGGATGGCATATATACCTCATTTGACATTTCTGTTTTTAGGACCTCTTAGGTATGTGGCGTTCCTGTCTGTACAAAGTTAAATTTGATTATCTCCTGTTAATCAGTCTCATGTCAATTTAATTCTGAGCCCAGGCAGAAGAATCTTTGAAGGGTAACGGGAAAAGTTTCCTCCCCAACAATAGTGTTCTAAGTTCTCTTAATTTTTGAAACCTTTATACTATTAAAGGGAATTTTTTAAATAAAAAATTAATCACATCAAGTAAAAAAAGAAAAAAAAAAGTCCTTTGTATTTCCAGAGCAAGAAAGACTGGAGGATGCCCAGGGGAAAAACAAAAGGTGTGTGGAGTGAAAACAATCACCTTCCCTGGGCATGGGTCTGGGGTTGTAGTGTTAAAAGTTCTTCCCTCTTTCTATTCACTTCCCATCCTATGGAGCACTGTTGGTAAAGTACAGTCTCCACAACTTCCTGGTTCTTTCCCCACAGAATGAAGGATTTTAAGTGTCAAACATAAAATCTAAAGTGAAACCCTCCTGGTAAATACTATCTTTTCATCACCTGAAAATCATCTTCCCTCCTGCCTAGTTCTCTGAAATGTGCACCCAGCTTGCATCAGGGAACGATTTTCAGCGAAAACACAGAACAGCTAAAAAGAAGTACTGTGCTTCTCAAAGTGTGCTCTCAGATTGGCAATGTCACCAGCTTGCAACTTACTTGGATGAAAAATCTCAAGTCCATCCCAAAACAAGAGTATCTGGCTTCCAGAGATAAGAACCCAAAATCTGTGTTTTTAAAAAACCCCCTGGGAAGATTTTTTTTTTTTTTTTTGCATATCAATGTTGAGAAGAAATTCTAAGATTTGGATGATTAAGATTCCAATTAACTTCACTTTAAAGAAAAAAAAGGAGTGCAAGAGAAGTCAAAGGCTAATGAGGAGTGTTGCCCTACTCATTTACATGAGTGAATGTTTAACAACTGGGGGGGGTAGATCCTAATTTATAGCACTCTATAGGTCTGATCTGCTCTTGTGATATCACTGAACTTGGAGTTGGGAAGAGAGGCACGCTAGTGGTTTCCAAAAGCTTCTGCCTGAAGCCAACAGCACGGTACACAGAAGTCTCCTGCTGGAGTTGATAACAAGGACTGAGTTATTCATTTAATCCTCCCAACATTTGTGAGTGGAAATTTCTGCACAGCTTGCAGCACTAGATAATGTTGTCTTGTTAATGTGTCCGAGATGGAGAAAGGCAAGGGCAAACTCATCCCACAAATCTCTGAAGAATGACTGATCCTGTATCTCTCAGAAATTGCCAAAACCACATGAATTCAGAAGTTGCAACCACTATGTTCCATTTTTGTTTGCACTGTGGTAGCACAGGCTTTTTTCATTATATTAAAAAGTCAAAACCAAGTAACCCCATGGACAGTTTATCTCACGGATAAAGGTCCAGTCAGGTCTTCGCTTGTTAAATGCAAGCTAAAATGTCTCATGAAACTCCTTGTTTAAAAAGCTAATGGAAGGTACTTCGGAGAGACCTCCCACTCAGACTTCTAAGGGATATTTGCTGCTTCGCGCATATCAGTTTAGGCAAATATCTCTAAATGTATACGTTTTCTTTAACAAACTGATAGCCAAGTGTGTTCTCTATCTCTGTGACTTCTTTGGCAACATAAGCAATAGAGAGCATGGGTTAAACCTCTCTCCCCTCCCCCCATGTATCATCATCATTATTATCACTTTCTGGAACTTTAACAAGTTTTTAAACCCTCCAAGACTCAGTTTCCTCCTTCATAAAATGAGATTAGATGAGAATCTACCTCAGAATTATTGTAGGATTTAAAAACATAATACAGGCAAAATGCTTCATAATCCAGACGTGCCATTCAAGGTAGTAGCTAGTACTTATGGGACAAGTTTTATTTTCCTCAACTTTTCTCCAGGTATCAGACATAATGCAGCTCAAGTCAACTTTTCTTTTTAATCATAGCATAATCTGATGATATTTGAAAATGGATACATTTCAGCCTGTTTAACATGTTTTTGCTATGTAATACCCAAAAAAAAGAATGCAAAAATAAATACAAATTCTGTCTAACACTGCAGAAAAGAGCAAATTACAGATTGCTGTTTAGGAAGCCAATAAAGCCACAAAAAGCAATGAATCCAAAATCCCGGGCTCTAACCGAATGAAGCCAATCCCGATATGGATTAATCCCCCTCACAGCTACTTTGTAACTCTCAGAATTGCCAGGGCTCTTGCTTCACTTAATATACCTAAAACAAACTTAGGGCAGAAAAGAGGAACTTACCCACTAAATTCTCTTTATCCTGTTTCTGAGGGGAATTCGCCCCAGGATCCATCTCATTCTTGAGAAGATTTTACACTTGGGCAATTTTCATGGGTTTGGAGCCAGGCCTGGGCTCCAGGTGCTTAGGAGAGAGGACAAGGAGAGAGAAGGAATGAGCAAGTGAGAGTTCCTTTCCTTTCATGAGCACCCCAAGGAGCAGTTTCCCTGGTGAAGGAAGCCTGTTAAGACAAACAAAAGGATTTTTTTTTCATGAGTTTAGACTGCCTTTGTTCCTAGAGAAAATTCAAAAGAACATGACCTTCTGATGGCATTGTTTCCTATAAAATATCTCTAAATAATTCCCTACATCATTTATATTTTATAACTCATTGTATAAATCACACAGTGATTTGCTCACCACAGTGAACTGTGGATACACAGGGCAAGTATATCTATCCTTATGCTGCAGATAACAAGATTTCATTCAATTCAATCTCTACACTGCAGTGAGTAATCTTCTAAAACCTGAATCTAATCATGTAGCCATCCTGCTTAAAATAATCCCATGACCACCAATCATTAGCATGACAAAGAGGAAAACCTGAAGTGTCCCCAGAGACCCTGCTAGTCCCTTTCCAGTCCCACTCATATGATAATCCCCTCACTCACTGAGCAACAGCCCCGTTGGCCTCCATGAATACCACTAAAGCTATCTGTGTCCTCTGTGCCACAGAGCCTTGACACATGTTACCATAGGCATAATTACTTGGCCTCTAGAAAAGGGGTTGGCTAACTACCGCCTGCTAGCTGAACCTGGTCTGCCACCTATCTTCATAAATGTGTCACTGGTACGCAGTCCTAGCCATTTGTTTCTGTGTTCTCTGTGGTCACTTCCCTACCAGACCTGCATAGTTGAACATCTGCTATAGAGACCATACAGCCTGCCACGCCTAAAACATTTCCTATCTCTCCCTCTACAGAAAGCATTTTCTGAGCCCTGACATACGTGACAGCTTCCATAAGAGATGTGATTAGTTGTGCTGCTTTCGCCACGGCACCTGCAGCATTAGAACAGTGCAGGCTCATCTCTGCTGCCCAAAAGATACGGTTGAATGAATGAATAAGTGATTTGTCAAAGATAACAGCTCACAAGTGCCAAAGCTCCTTCTCGAATCCAGATCCCCAGGCTCCTGTCCCAGGAGTCCTTCCTTCATCAGACCCCTTCCAGCCAAAGATAATTTAGCTGTTACTCTACCATGGAGAGGACAGATATTCTACTTGAATGATGGTCATCTCTCTCCTATCACTATTCCAAATAATACTTTGTTTTCCTCGGTGTGGAAGCAACACAACCCAAAGCCAACTCAGATCTTTCCCAGGTCATCCTGTCTTGCCGGTCTTTCTTCCCCCGACCATCTAGTCTCTTTCTTCTCATCAACTTCATCTTTAAAAATCTCCCAGATTGGGGGTTACACTTGCCAACTAATTGATACTCTTAACTGCATTCTCTACAAACTCAAATTACAGTAATAACCAAGGCTGTCATCCACAGTTTGTAATTATAAGAATTAATATGGAATATTAGAACTTTGGGAAAGGAGGCTGGGGACAAGAAACTCAGATTAAAACAGATGCATGTGTATGCACCGAGTCAGGGATTGTCTACTTTAGAATACTTTCCTCTGCATTGTTGGCGTACATCCTTGGCTGTGGCTCGATGTGGAAACCATGCCACGGGCATAGTGGGTAAGAAAATGGGTCCTGGGTTCACACTGCCTGCCAACGTGGGACATCATGTAACTTATTTAGTTCCTCTTCATGTTCTGTTTTTTTTCATCTGTGAAATGGGCATGATGAAGTCTCTAGCAGAGTTGTCTGAGTGAGCAGTATATGAAACATTACATGTAAAGTACGCAGAATCGTGACCGGCATTAATAAATGGTAACCATGATTACTGTGAATGAGAGCTGAACTGTGTTTCTCAGGACTCAGCGATCTTCTTTCTAACATGAGAATGCTGGGTCAATTTTCACACTATGTCTCTTTTCATCCTTGTGTCAAGCACATGGAAGATGGATTAGTGATTGGTCCAGTATCTCAAAACATTCGTCACCTTTGTCTAACATCTCTCCAGTTTCCTGCAAATTTGCAAACTTGAGGGCCATTCCTGCTTCTGCCCTGTAGTTCTTTCATTCTGTTCTGTTTCTTCCTGCAGGATCTCTGCTTCAGCACCAGGTCATCATAACTTTGGGACTAACCTCACATGGAAAAGAGCAACAGGAGAACTTCCTATGCCCATTATTTCTTGGGACAAGGTCATAGACAATCTTTGCCTGGAACAGGAAGCCCCTTTTTCCTCTGAATCGGATGACCCTCCAGTCATGCAGCAAAATATTTTGGAAATACTGCTTTAGCTCATTTCTAGATACAAGTCCCCTTAATATTAGCTGGATACCGCTTAGGCGCAAGGTTCAAAACAACAGAACAATAATTGTTCCCTGGTGGTGGCTGGCAAGAGCCTTCGGGACACTTGCCACAAATGCCTCCCTGTGGAAGATGACTAAGCAACTGTTTTTCTTCTTCCTGCAAAATGTCCCGAGATCTCAGCCTAGAAAGCAAGAATGCTTTCAACGAGGACGGAATGCCTGGAACAGCTGGGGGGTTCAGGAGGTGAATGAAACACGGGATCATTTGCAACCTTTCCTCCTCCTTTGTGTAAAATAGAAATCACCGTGAGCCACGTTAGTGGAATTTTCTCCCCTCTGTCATGGGGGAAATAAAGCAGATCACCAAGTGCTAGAATGTGCTCCCAATGAAAGTTTTTCTGTGTTTCTGTATTTTCATTCTATCAATGACTGAATTAGGGCAAGGTCCGGAAATGAGGACAGCTTTTTGTTTTTGTTTGTTTGTTTTAGGACAATTGTGATTTTAGAAGTCCTAATTCTATTCCCACTCCTGACCTACAGGATGTTGTCCCTAAAGATGTATATTTGATTTGCCCTGAATGTTCATCTTAGGGTACCAGTGCCTTCTTGAAACAATTCGTTCTAGCCTCAGACCTTTCTCCTTCTCTAAGCTTCTGGTTTCAGGAAACCTCTCCCACCACCTGTCATCCGCCATCATTTCATTTCTTGCTAAGATGCACACATACGTTCTAGGACATTTGCCGCTACCTTAGGAAAACGTTCCCCTTTCTTTAAATGATGAAGTTCTCTGATTTCATTAACTTTTCACCGATGTGTACCATCCATTCTATTTTATTCCTTCTCATTTATCCAATTCTTGAATTTCCACCTTCTTAAATAACAATTTAAGTCCACAGATCTGTATGGATATTATAGTGATAACTCCCTAAACTGCCAGTTCGACCTAGACTCCACTCCAGAATAATAAATATTTTCAACTATCAGCTGATGAAATCTCTCTACCTAAGTGTATCCCCCATCAATGAAATAATCAGTCCATTAGAAAACATTCTATTAAACAGACATTTTTATTATGGAAATTTTGATGATGCATGTGAAATAATACATACAATGCATATAAGTATATAATGTGTATGTGTTTATTAAATGAAATGAACAATGCATATACCGTCCAACCTCAGAACTAGAATACAACCAACACCATTAAAGCTATTTGAGTATCCTTCACAAGACTTATCGTACCTCCCCATAACCACAATCCATAATTGTGCTGATTATTCTCTGGGGTTTAAAACAGTTTTTTTAAATCATAAATGTATGTATCTTTTAAAAATTAATTAATTAAATATTTTAAAAGATTTTATATATTTATTTGAGACAGAGAGCATGGAAAAGGGGGAAGAAGCAGGGGGAAGAGAGAGAAGCAGACTTCCCACTGAACTGACAGCCCCACACAGGATTCCATCCCAGGACCCTGGGATCATGACCTGAGCCGAAGGCAGACACTTAACCAATTGAGCCACCCATGTGCCCCTACAATGTATGTATAGATCTTGAAACAATGTATCACTTAGCTTTATCTGCTTTGACCATGTAAAAATACACATGTAGTCTCCTGTGATTACCTTTGTGGCTCCATATTGTTTTTAAGGTTCGTCCACGTTGCTGCTTGAGGCAACTGTTTGGTCATTTTGAGTGTACCTCACACATGACAAACAGGCCCCCATGCACTGACTTATCTAGATATTTAAAAGTTTTTGCTGTTACCAAATCATGCTACCATGAATCTTTTTGTACATATGTCCTGGTGCATATATATGCAAGATTCTTCAGTACCTAAAATCAACGTGTGCACATTCAGAAATGGAATTGTCAGAATTTATGTTCAACTTTACAGGACTGTTGTAAACAGGATTTTGATTGTTTTCAAGTGGTTTGTTATCAACGGAATCTTCCACTAGCCCTGTACTGCTCTCAAGTATTGCCTGTGTTCCACATCCTTGAAGCACTTGATAGTGTTGGAGCTTTTAATATTTGACAACTGAGTGGGTGTAAAATAGTATTTCAATATAATCTGAATTTATATTTTCCTGAAAAAAAAATTTTTTTTTTTAGATTTTTTATTTATTTGACAGAGAACACAAGTAGGAAAAGAGGCAGGCAGAGAGAGCGAGAAAGGGAAGCAGGCTCCCTGCTGAGCAGAAAGCCTGATGCGGGGCTCAATCCCAGGACCCTGGGATCATGACCCAAGCCGAAGGCAGAGGCTTTAACCCCCTGAGCCACCCAGGCACCCCAGATTTTCCTGAATTTTAATAAAGCTGAGCAATTTTCACAGGGCTGTTTACAATTCATGTTTTCTCCTCCCTGTATTGCACTTAGTGTTTTGTGCTTTTTATTTTTTATACTGATTGTGTATAGTCTATATATATACACTTGCATCTATTTTTAATATGTATATTATATATATATATAATGTATATATATGTGTATATATATATGTGCTTGACAGTTACATGAAGGGCAAATATAATTCTCCCCATTGTAGCTTATCTTTTCACCTTTTTAATGATGCCTTTGATATCAAATATGGGAAGCTTCAATATACTTAGTGTCTGCTTTGTCTTGCATAAAAAGCTATTCTTTTCTA